CTCAAGGTTCCACCCGCCCTCCCACCCCTTTTCCTTCTTCCTTCTCTTTACAGAGTGCTGTGTTACTGTGCTGATGTCTCGTTCCCGCTCGAGTCTCGAGCGTGGGGGCCTCGGTCCCAGAGTGTTGTGCCTCTCGAGCGTGCACGCGTCAAAAAAGTGATGATCCATCAGCTTCGCTGTTTGGCCGCCGATGGAGCGCATGTACTTGCGATGCATATGTATATGTGTATGCGTATGTCTGTGTATGTGTCTGTGTATGTGTATGTGTATGTGTATGTGTATGTGTACATGCATATGTATGTATATATGTATGTGAATGTATACATTCATATGATTATTTATGTGTACATGCGTATGTATATGCATATGTAATTGTATGCGAATGTGTATATGCATGTGTATATGCATGTGTATATGTACAGGTTTAAGAATATGGATATATTTGTATATGCGAATATGTATATTCATATGTGCATGTCTGTGACATGCATATGTGTATGTATATATTTGTGTATCTGTTTTATGTTTATGCATATGTATATGAATGTGTGCATGAATATGTGTATATGTATACGTATAGGTATATGTGTTTGTACCTTTTTTTAATATACGCATATGTATATGTTTGCGTATATGTGTATTTGTATATCTTTGCTTATGAATATGTATTTGTATATGTATATGTGTATGTATATGTATACGCATAATATATATATATATATATATATATATAATATATATATATATATATATATATATTTAAACATTTAGATGTGTATACATGTAGATGTACGTATGTACACTTACATATGTTTATATACACATTTACATATATTCATATATATGTAACCATATGTATAATTTCATAGGTGTATATGTATATGTTCATGGGTATGTTTATGTATGTGTATAGGTATATTTATATGTATATGTACATTTACATGTATATGTATATGTATATGCATATGCATATGCATTTGTATATGTATATGTATATGTATATGTATATGTATACGTATATGTATCTGTATATGTATATGTGTATGTATATGCATATGTATATGTATATGTATATGTATATGTATATGTATATATATGTGTATGCATTTATACATACACATCTACATACATGTATATTTATATGTATAATCGCATATTTATGCGTGCATATCTGTACATACACATATATATAAGATACACATACACACATATACATACATACTTACTTACATACATACATACACACATACATATACACACACATATATACATACATACATATACATATACATATACATATACATTCACATATACATATACATATACATATATACATATATATACACACATATATACATATTCATATACATGGATGCGTATCTTCGTGCATGAGGCCTGGGGGCCTGGGGGCCCGGCCCCGACAGCGCATGGGAAAATTGGGGCCTCCGAGACCGTTCCCGCAGTACCCTGGAGCGGCCCTGGAGCCCCCAGACTGCCCCAGAGAGCTCGAACGCTCCCAGAAGCCCCAGGGGGATGCTCCAAGACGGCCAAGATGACCCCAACATGGCCCCAGACGGGCCCAACACGGCAAATACACAGCTCAAGAGGCTTCCAAGAGACCTCAAGAGAGCTCCGAAAGGCGTCCCGAGAGAGCCCGAAGAGGCCCCGAGCCTTGATATTCATTGTTTTCCAATTTTTTTTTCCAGCTCCATCGCTCCAAGACGGCCGACGATGCCCCCAATACCGCCCCCAGACCGCCGAAGAGGCCCCAAAAGAGCTCCAAGACTGCCCCACGGAGTCGGAAATTGCCTGGAGGAACCCCAGACGGCCCAAGAGAGTTCCAGGGCAGGCCCAAGCTGGGCCACTGAGCAGGAGCCGGAGGCCCCAAGGCGCTCCAAGACGGCCCCGATGGCCCCAACGTGGCCCCAGATGGGCCCAACACAGCAAGTACACAGGCCAAGAGGCCTCCAAGAGTCCCCAAGAAAGCTCCGAGAGGCGTTCCGAAAGGGCCCGAAGAGGCCCAAATCTTTGATTTTCTTTAGTTTTAATGTTTTCCGCTTTCTCGCGTTCTCGAGCTTCCAACGCTCCATGACGGCCGAAGACTTCCCGAAGATCGCCCTAAGACCGCCGAAGAGGCGCCCCAAAAAACGCCAAGGCGGCCCCGGAGAGCCTGAAGATTACCCAAGAGCAGCGCAACACTGCCCAAGATAATCCCAGGAGA